GAGCCCGCATCTACATGCGGTGAGCTCCAAGGGCGTGAAGAACGCCCGTCAGGGAGCGCCACAGCTCCCGGACCACAAGCGTGCTTGCGCCGATCGCCGCGGCTCCAGATCCAGCGCGCAAGTGCCGCCTCAGGCCCCGGACATCTTCGTCGAGCTGTCCCGCAGCAGCAGCGCCTCCCTCCGCGGGCGCAGCCAGCACGGGCGCCAGCAGCACTGCGAGCTGGTCTGCCGCGTCCAAGCAAGGGTCACGCTGGCGAGAACGGAAGGTCTCAGGAGGAATCACCGGAAGCGACGAATGAGCCAGCACCTGAATCAGCAGCAGAACATGGAGGCTGTCAGCGAGGCGGTGCAGCTGTCCAAGAGTCGCCTCGGGAACACGGGTCTGCGGAGGCTGCAGTGCCTCCGCCAGGAACTGAAGCGGCTCATCAGCGCCGGCGAGGAGAGCAAACGGAGCCGATAGCGAGCCTCCGCCCGCGGCCACAAACTCCACGCCAGCAACGGGTGGAAGCGGCAGCAGTTGCAGACGAGAACCAGGAACGGGCGCCGACGCGGCGGGAGCAAGCGCAGGCGACGACTGAATCGGAGGGGGAGGCGCAGCAACAGGGGGGAGCGCAGCCGGACGGGGAGCCTCGTGGACGGGCGCGGCGCGCAGCGAACTGCTCTGACTCTGCGCCGCCCTCTCCTCCCGAACCGCCCTCGACACTTCACGCTGAAGATCCGCCATCGTCACAGGCGGGCGCAACCCCCCATAGGCGCGGGGACCTCCCCATTCCCCCTGACCCCCGGGGTGAGCAGGCCAGCGGGGGTGTCGCTGGAACCGCCGCGGAGACTCACGGCGGCGACGAGAGGACCGGCGGTCCTGATGGGGAGCAGGGGAATGCGGGCGTGACGAACGACGGTCAGGCGACGGAGGACGTGACGGCTGGCCAGCAGGAACTACCGCCGTCGCAGCAGGGGCGGGCGGTCCCGACGCCGCGGGCGCAACCAACGGAGCCGGCTCGCCAGTGGTGGCGGACACCGCCTTCGGTGACGAAGCAGAAGCATGCGCAAGCGAGCAAGGGACAGAGGCGCTCAGCGCAACAGGGGCGCCAGGGACAGGCGCAGGGGGGTCAGCAACAACCCCAACAGGGGCAGACGTCGACGGCGCGACAAGGGGAACCAGGGGGTCATGTGCTGCAGACTGGGCAACGGGATCCGCGGGTGCGTGGGGAGGAAGCTTTTCAGCGGCTGCTGTCACGAGGGTCGGAGCCGGCGGTAGAGGGGGCTTCATCGCCGTGGTCGCCCTTCCGGCCTCCGCCGGAGGCGTCGCGGCCACAGCCGACCAGGCGGCAACGAGCTCTGGCGACGGCTCAGGCGCACCGGCAATCACCATCCCTGGAGCAGGAAAACTGCGGGGCGAGAAGACAAACCGTAAGCGGAACAGGCGGAGGGCCGGAGAACGGGTATCAGGCGGCGGCACGAAGGGCTTTAAGTAACGCGGAGAAAAATAATGAAGAAGACGAGCGGGACGACCCCACTTATATGGAAGAAGCACTCCCCGAGAGCGAGGAGGAGGAGACGGAGGGGGAAGGCATGGCGAGAGAAGGACCAAGGAGAAGGGAAGAGGTAGTGCAGCAGCCAGTGGTGCAAGTGTCACAGATGGGTTTGCCGCCATCCGACGCCGATCGGACGGGTGTGAATCCAACCTCAAACCCACCAATGAGAGCGAGCCGCGATGGGAGAAATCGAGCCGCCAATGCCAGTCCGGCACTGCACCTACAGGCGTCAATTCCCCGCTACTTTTCACCCGATGAGCTAGCGAAGCGGACAGACCTGTTCGCGGCCATCGCGAACTGGGACTTGGCAGGACTATGCGATAGTCGTCAGCCCCCACTTTCGCGGCGTTTACCGCCAAATCTGTGCCAGCTGTTTTCGCTAGCGCTACTGACACCGTTACACCACCTATCACGAAACCCCGATTCGGAAACGGGATGGCGACTGCTGTTGTTTCTCCCGCGACTAACACTTCGCCAAACCTCGCCTGCACGCCCGAACTGGCCATGCGTCAAGAGTCAGCTCCGAGCCTTCCAGCGTGGCGAATGGGATCAGCTGTACCAAGACGCGTTGACCGCAGTCAACACACCGCCCCCGCCAAGACATCAGCCAGATGCGACTGGTGTCATCAGCCGCGCAGAGAGCCTAGCAAAACGTGGGAGTCTGCGCCGAGCCGTGTTGGCCCTCGAGTCAACGCCCGTCTGCACGCCCAGTCCGGAAATATTGGAGGAGCTGCGACAGAAGCACCCACGTGCTGAAGACGAGGCAGTGACGTGGCCCGAAACACAGGGGTCAAAATTGTCAATCCCCCACGCTGACTTCGCTAAAATGTTGGCGAGGTGCGAGAATGGGGTTGGTGCCGGACCTTCAGGGATGACGTTCGAGCACCTACGCGATGCGGCGATCACGAACGGAATGGTCAGCACCCATCTCCACGCCTTGGTCAACACTGTGTTGGGAGGCAAATTGCCAGGCCCGGTAGCGAACCTGCTGACGGCATCACGACTCATCGCCCTCGCCAAGCCGGGGGGAGGGGCTAGGCCTATCGCCATCGGCGAATGCCTAACCAGGCTGGCAGCCAAGGCTGCCCTGTTAATCATGGGAGACCCGGTCCGCGAATTTTTCTTACCCCTACAGTACGGGGTAGCAGTTCCAGGTGGGGCGGAGGCAGTAATCCACGCAGCCAGGGCTTTTTCGGATGCCCGCCCGGACAGCCTGGTACTACAAGCCGACATTACAAACGCGTTCAACAGCATTTCGCGTTCCGCCATCGCCGACGCGTTACAAGAGCCCACCCTCTCGCCACTGCTGCCGCTCGTGCAACTGACATACGGTAACCCGTCGCAGCTACTACTGGACTCCAATTTCAACAGCGCACCACTGACAAGCGAACGCGGCGTACGCCAGGGAGACCCACTGGGGCCACTTCTATTTGCAGCAGGGATACACGCTACACTCCGAGAAACTGCCGAAGCACACCCGGACGTGCTGTGCCTGGCATATGCTGACGATGTCACCTTCCTGGGTGACACAGACCGCACTGTAGCTGCATTCACATGCTTCACGACAAAATTGGCGCGCCTGGGCCTCGAACACAACCCACAGAAGTGTAGTGCCTGGAGCTCCTGCGCAATTGACACATCCTGCCTTCCGCCAGGAGTGCCGTTCTCTAAAGGTGGCATGAAACTACTGGGTAGCTTCGTGGGGCCAGACAGCGGCGCAGCTCGGTTCCTGGCGGGTCAGCTCGCCGAGATGGCGAAACCCTTACCCCTGCTCGAGCGAACGGACCCCCAGGTCGCAGCGCTGCTACTTACGCGATGCATATCGCGACGAGTTGCATATCTCACCAGGACGACCCCACTGCACCTTCTCCCTCGTGACACATGGAGCCAGTGGGGTAGGGATCTGCTCGCCACGCTCCTCACAGCTTGCGATATCCGTGTTCCCACGTGTCGAACCGAACAGTCACGGGTCTGGGAGCAAGCATCACTGCCGCCATCCTTGGGAGGGCTGGGCATCACCGACCCCCTAGTCGAAGGGATCTATGGTTTCGCAGCCAGTTTTACGCAGGCGGCATTGTACCTCGGGTGTTTACCGCTGGAAGAAGATACCGCCCTCACCCTGGCACGGAATCATATGCTACTGCCACGGGCTGACAGCACACCGCTACACGAATGGCTGAAGGAGTGTGAGGAGGCACTGCCGCAGGATGCACGGGAGATACTCGAGACGGAGCGGCTCAAACGTTCCGACATCCGGCTCCAACACGTGCTTGGACTCAAGGTCCACGGAAGCAGATACGCAAAGCAGGTGCAGGCGACGAGGCGCATGAAGCCGAATCCGCTTGCGGGGCACACACAGAGGATGTTTTCAATGACGGGCTACGGCACAGGCGACTGGCTCACCGCGATCCCCATTGCCCCTGCTAGGCGGATAGGGCCGGTACACTTCGCAAATGCGGTTCGTTTCCGACTCGGCCTACCGTTTTCGACCCCCAAAAACTGTGACTGCGCTGACCACACGGCTATTACAGACCCCCGCCTTCCGAACCACCTGCTCCGCTGCGGCACAGGCAAGCACCGCACGAACACGCACAACGAGCTAAGGGATGCCTGCGTCAGCATGGCGCAAGACGCAGGGTTTATAGTGCACAGAGAGTCGGCCGCCTACTGCCCCATCGAGGAGCAAACCGCCGACTTCACTATGACCGACAGAAGCAGTGGGGCGGTTTACATCTGCGATGTAACCATCACTGACCCCATCAGCACCAGGGACCCAGAGGCACAGAAGGGCAGGGGGTGGGCGGCGCGTGAGCAAGCGGACAAGAAAATAAAACATTACGCCAACCGCCCAGAGACGATAGGCTTCTTCCCACTGGCGGTAGACACCTACGGCTGCCCATGTGCCGAGGTCCCGGTCTTCCTCAAGCTCCTGGCAGACACAGCGGCTCGGCGCCACTTCAACGCCGACTCAAAATCCTTCTATGCCGCCAAGTTTCTGCATCAATTCAGACAGAGGTGGTCTGTGGCCCTCCAGAGGGCTCAGTCAGTGGGACTCTTGATCAAATTGGGGGAGGCTGTAGCAGCTGAGAACCCACGTGTTGGAGGCATAGGGCAGGAGATGCACCTTGGGGACTGCTTTGCGGTGGTCGAGCCTTTGCTGGAGCTCTAGAGTGTGTGACGGTGTGGTAGTTGTGTGACTGGTTGGCTTTGTTTGTTGGTTACCTAGGCCCTTATACCGTGCATGCTTGTACTTTCCTGCTATATCAATACAAGGACCATTAGAGAGAGAGAGAGAGAGAGAGAGAGAGAGAGAGAGAGAGAGAGAGAGAGAGAGAAGCACTACATCAGCATCCGATTCAACATGGGACAGTAAACAAGGGCCGCAAGAACAACATCCCCAGCACATCATGGGGAAGCCCAAGCCCAGATCAGGGGCGAAACAACCAGGCAAGGGAAAAGAGGCTGCTACTCGGCCAGGATCCAACAGAGCCGCCCGTCCATCCACCGCAACACGGACGCGGCGGCAGGCACAATGTCCTGGGGGGCCTGCAAGGCGGCAAGTGCAAGCCGCCTCAACGAAGCGGGGCCAGGCCCCAGCGCGGATTCGGGGGAGCCTGGCACAAGCCCGATCAGGGGCAGCATCCGGAGCATCTCCATCGCCGCTGCCGCAGCCTCCTCCTGCTCCCGCTGCGACAACGCCAGGGGGGCAGCCTCATGACATGACAGCCGCTGCTGGCATGCGTGAAGCTGGTCAAGGACCATTGCCAGCAGGGTCAGACAAGTCCCCACGTGGCCAACGCGCTGCTCGACGCGGAGAGCGCGCTCAGTCGAGGGGGATTCCTCCCACCGACTCCAGCGGTGTTGCGGGGTCCGAGGGTGAGAGGCGGAGCAACCCGCAGGCAGCAATGATTCCCAGGGGAAGGTCGCGGGACGGGGAGGAGGGATCTGCGATGAATCTTCCGCAGGAGTTGGTGGTGGGAACGGCTCCGGCGCAGGAGGAGGGAGAGGTGTCAGCAGGGACTGGCGCGGGGCCTCGTGCCGCGGTCCCTTGCAGCGGCCCGGGCGCGCCCTCCGCCGCTGATCCGGTGGTGCACCAGCAGGCAGAGGATCAGCTACAAGAGGCGGATTAGGAACCCGAGGAAGAGACAGTTGAACCGGCATCTGAGGAGGCGGTCGAGCCGACACGGGCGATGCCCGGGGTGACTGAGTGGACGACGAGGCCGGCGGCGCCGGCGGAGCAACACGGAGATTGCGACGGGAGGGACGAGACTGACGCTGCATGCGCCGAAATGCCTGCTGCTGCCAAGGACGAAGGACAGACGGAGCGCGTCCGGGAGGAGGATGGTACAGTGGTCCCTGAGACCCGCGTCGCCTCTCCCGCCGCCCGCGGGAAGACTGCGAGGCTCCGCGCCCGACCAGCACCGCTGCGGCTTGGATCATCGCTGATGCCCGGTTGCCCGGGACCACTCCTGGGCTGGCTCCAGCAAGCGTCGCTGCCACAAGGGCCAGTGTCCCCGTCGCCATTCGCTCCTGGTCCTACGAGGAGCAACGGGCTCCGGAGCAGCCTGCCGCGAACTGCTCTGGCTCGGTGCTGCCCTCCCCTGACGTACGGCGCGCGACACCTCCCGCGACACCTCGCGCTGGAGGTCCGCCAGCGTCACTGGCGGCCGATACCACCCGCCTCCACCGCGCCCCGGGGGGCCCCGCCATCCCCCACTGCCACCTGGATGCGTTGGCCACTGGGCCTGCTGCTGGTAGCGCCGGGGGGAGTTCCGCCGGCGCCGAGACGTCTCGCGCTCCTGCTGGGGCGCTGGAGAATGGGGCTGGGACAAGCGGCGGTCAGGCGACGGGGGACGAGACGGCGGAACAACCGGAGCCGCCGGCGGTGGAACGGGAGGAGACTGATCCGCGCTCGGAAGAGCAACCACCGAGGGCGGGCCGCCAGTGGTGGCGGACACCGCAAGCGACGAAGAATCAGACGCCAGCGCTGGCACGCCGGGGACAGCACCGGCAGGTGCAACTGGAACGCCAGGCACAGGGACAGGATGAGCGGCGACCTCTCCGGCAGGAGCAGATGCCGCCAGCGGCACGGCAGGAACAGGGAGAACAGGCGAAGCGGGCGCGACAGGCGGAGCGGGAGGAGCAACCATCGGCGCAGACGGCTCAACCCCGTTCACGACAAGAGGACGTGCGGATTCGAGGGGAGGAGTCTTTTCAGCGGCTACTAGGCCGGGCGGCGGAACAGACAGCGGCGGGGAGCCCGTCGCCTCGGTCCTCGCTCCTGAGGCAGACGACGGCCTTTCGAGTACAACCGACGCAGCGCCAGCGCGCATTGGCGAATAATCGGTCACACCAGCAATCACCATCGCGAGGACAGGGAGCACGAGGCGATGGGCGAGCAGCAGTTAGCGGTCGAGGAGGGGGGCCAGAGAATGGCTATCAGAGGGAGGCCAGAAGGGCTTTAACTAGGCTACTTAATGACGAAGAAGAAAATGACCCCTCTTATAGAGAAGAGCCAACCCCATTGAGTGAGGACGAAGGGACAGAAGCAGAGGAAGGGGTAGAGGAGAATTGGAGAAGGACGGGAGCGAGACCAAGGCGGTCCTTAGGAGAGGGAAGGACCACCACGGCTGGACCGTTCGATGGCAATCGTACGGGCGAAATTCCAACCGCACCATCACAAGGGAGGCCGGGCCGCACCGGGAGAAATCGGGCCGCGATGGCAGCGGCATCGGTGCGAGACAATCCCAATCCCCCGCGCTATTTTACGCCAGAGGAGTTGGCGACGCGAGCAGATCTGTTCGCTGGCGTCGAGAACTGGGATATCCCAGCCCTCTGCGATAGTCGACAACCATCCCTGGCAAGGCGGTTACCGCCCAATTTGTGCCAGTTGTTTTCGCTGGCGCTGCTAACCCCGTTACTCAACCTGTCACGAAACCCGGAAGGAGAGGCAGGTTGGCGCCTACTCCTATTTCTGCCACGTCTGACGCTTCGCCAGACCTCGCCACGGAAACCAAACTGGCCCCAGATCAAGGCCCGGCTCCGAGCCTTCCAACGTGGCGAGTGGGGTCAACTGTACCAGGATGCGATCGAAGCAGTCAACACTCCCACGCCTCCACGTCACCAGCCCGACGCAACCGGGGTCATCAGCCGGACCGAGGGCCTGGCGAAACGGGGTAGCCTGCGACGCGCTGTGCTGGCGTTGGAGTCAACGCCAGTTTGCACCCCAACTCCGGAAATTCTGGTGGAGCTTCGACAGAAACACCCGCCAGCCGAATCAGGGGAGACGACGTGGCCACCCTCGCCTGAGTCAAAATTGTCCATCACCCAGGCTGACTTTGCCAAACTGTTGGGGAGGTGTGAAAATGGGATCGGTGCCGGGCCTTCGGGAACGACATTCGAACACATGCGCGACGCGGCAATCACGAATGGACGAGTTAGCACCCATCTGCACGCCTTGGTTAACACCATTTTGGGGGGCAACCTTCCAGCACCGGTGTCGGACCTACTGACAGCTTCACAGCTCATTGCCCTGGCCAAACCTGGTGGGGGGGCTCGACCTATCGCCATTGGCGAATGTATCACGCGGCTGACTGCCAAAGCAGCCCTCGCAGCCATGGGAGAGGCCGCGCGGGCCTTTTTCCTGCCTCTACAGTATGGCGTAGCCGTGCCTGGAGGAGCCGAGGCAGTCATCCACGTGGCACGGGCGTATCTGGACAAGCTTCCCAACAGCCTCGTGCTGCAAACCGACATCTCAAATGCATTCAACAGCATTTCACGGCAAGCTATCGCGACAGCGTTACAAGGACCGGAGTTGTCGCCACTACTGCCGCTGGTGAAACTGACATATGGTAACCCATCGAAATTATTCGTCGACGCGAATTTCGGATCGGACCCATTGATCAGCGAACGGGGCGTGCGCCAAGGGGACCCACTTGGCCCACTACTGTTTGCGGCGGGAATGCACACTGCACTCCGCGACACTGCTGCAGCACACCCCCAGGTGCTGTGTCTGGCATACGCTCACGACGTCACATTCCTGGGGGAGGCGACGGCTACTGTAGCAGCCTTCAACCATTTCACCGAGAAGCTGGCACACCTGGGATTACGACATAATGCGCAGAAATGCGCAGCCTGGAGCAGAGAAGCAGCAGTAAAGGATCGGTTGCCGCACGGCGTACCATTCTCCCAGGAAGGTGTTCGCTTGCTCGGAAGCTTCGTGGGGCCTGACAGGGGGGCGTCACAGTTCCTGTCGGGTCAGCTGCAGGAGATGGCCAAACCTCTGCCACTGCTTGAGAAAGCCGACCCGCAGGTAGCCTCGTTATTGCTCACCCGCTGCATTTCGAGGCGCGTGGCATATCTTACCAGAACAACACCGCTTTCCCTTTTGCCACGAGAGACCTGGAGCCAGTGGGGGACAGACCTGCTAGCGGCACTACTCACAGCATGCCACCTTCGCGTCCCCACCTGCCGTACCGAGCAAGCACGTGTCTCGGCGCAGGCGTCTTTGCCGCCGTCTTTAGGAGGGATAGGCATCACTGACCCGCTGGTCGAGGGTGTTTTCAGGTTCGCCGCGAGCTTCACGCAGGCGGCGCTTTTCATCGCATCACTAGACGGCGCCCCTGAGGGCGCGCTGGCGCAGGCGCGGGACCACATGCAGTTGCCCGCTGACACCACCACGCCCCTTCACACGTGGCTGTCGGAGTGTGAAGCAGCGTTACCCGACGATGCGCGAGAAGTCCTGGAGAAAGAACGGCTGGAGCGAACTGATTTGAGGCTCCAGCACGCATTGGCGCTAAGGGTGCATGGGAGTAGATATGCGGCGCAGGTGCAGGCGACGAGGGAGATGACGGTGAACCCCTTGTGCGGACATACGCAGCGGATGTACTCAATGACGGGGTACGGGACTGGGGATTGGCTGACCGCTATCCCGATTGCGGCCAACAGGAGGATAGGGCCCACTCACTTTTCCAATGCCGTACGTTTCCGGCTGGCCCTCCCCTTCTCCACGCCGAAGAATTGCGACTGTGCGGATCACACGGTGATTACGGACCCCCGCCTCCCGAACCACCTTCTCCGCTGCGGCACAGGCAAGCATCGCATCAACACCCACAACGAGCTGCGCGATGCCTGCATCAGCATGGCCCAGGACGCGGGTTTCATCGTTCACAGCGAGTCCTCAGCGCACTGCCCCGTTGAGGAACAGACGGCCGACTTTACAATGACAGACAGGAGCAGTGGGGCCGTCTATGTATGTGACGTCACCATCACCGACCCCATTAGCACAAGGGATCCGGAGGCACAGAAGGGCAGGGGCTGGGCGGCCCGGGAGCAAGCGGACAAGAAAATCCAGCACTACGCCTCCCTACCAGAGACGGTGACCTTCTTCCCCCTGGCTGTGGACACCTATGGCTGCCCGTGTGCGGAGGTACCAGCCTTTTTGAAGCTCTTAGCGGACACTGCAGCTCGGCGGCACTTCAACGCCGACTCTAAATCGTTCTATGCTGCAAAGTTCCTGCACCAGTTCAGGCAACGCTGGTCTGTGGCCCTGCAAAGGGCCCAATCTGTAGGCCTCCTACTCAAGCTTGGGGAGGCGGCGGCGGTTGAGAACCCGCCGGTGGGAGGAATTGGGGATGAGTTGCATCTAGGGGACTCCTTTGTAGTGATTGAGCCCCTCGTAGAGTTGTAGATCGGCGATGTTTGCAACCAGCATGCTTGTTACCTAGGCCACTATAACTTGCCTACCTGTACTTGACTGCTATATCAATAAAAGGACCATTAGAGAGAGAGAGAGGCCCTAGGAGCTAGTCCTTAGCCTCTCCAGCCCTCTCCAGCCTAGTATAAAGGCCTTAGGACCTGGCTCTTGAGCCTCATTATTCAGTTCAAGCGTTCATTTGGTCTCCTAACCGAGCGGCTCGCGCCGGCCGCCGACAGCGCGGCCTTCGGCCGCGCGTGAGGGGTGGCAAGGAAACACACACACGTTTGACTACAAGCAACGACATACAAACTATGGCGGCATCAACACAATCCTAAGCACAAATGGCCACGCAGGGGCAAGCGGAGCCCGGATCTACATCCGGTGAGCTCCAAGGGCATGAAGAATGCCAGTCAATGTCCGCCACAGCTCCCGGACCACCAGCGTACTTGCGTCGATCGCCGCGGCTCCAGATCCAGCACGCAAGTGCCGCTTCAAGCTCCGGACAGCCTCGTCCAGCTGTCCCGCAGCAGCAGCGCCACCCTCTGTGGGCGCAGTCAGCACGGGCGCCAGCAGCACGGCGAGCTGGTCTGCCGCATCCAAGCAAGTCTCGCGCGGCCGATCGCGAAACGTCTCAGGAGGGACTCCAGGGAGCGAGGAATGAGCAAGGACCTGTATCAGCAGCAAAGCGTGGAGACTCTCTGCGAGGCGGTGGAGCTGACCGAGAGCCGACTCTGAAACACGC